TTATAACTTACTTATATTATAAAAAATATAGTTTAAAATATTCTTTATTAACTTTATTAAGTAAAAAATTAAAATTTTATTAGAAATTTTTAAAAATAAATAACTTTAAACTTTGTGTTTAAAATTTTAATATAAAAAATTATATAAAAATTAGTATATATTTAAAATATAAAAATTGCTTTATTTCTAATACAAGTTAAAATTTTTATAATTAAATCATTAAATTATAATAATTAAAGTTATTCTTTGCAAATAATTCTACAAAACTAAATATGATTATATGAACTTTAATTTAAAAAATTTTTAAGTTTGTCTAAGATCAAATTTTATTAAAATTTTTGTCTATAATTAAACTTTAAATTTTTATTAATTAAATAAAAAATAAATACTATCAATAGATGATATATAATCAAAACCAATATTATATAAATATTTAGAAAAATATTTTGATTATTTGAAAAAATAAATGAAAAGCAACTTTTTAATTAAAAAATTTTAAAAGTTATAAAAAAAATGTCCTATGATTTAAGGAATAAGATTTGTATTTGTTTTAGTATTATAGGGACTTGTTTTTGTAATACAAGTCATATAAAAATTTTAATAGAAATATGCTGATTTTAAATTTATTAAATATGAAATTAATGAGAACTAATAACAAACCAGATGGCATAGAAATCTTTCACTAGTTATTATTGGTAGAAAATAAAAACATAAAAAATAAAACATTGTTTATTAAGATAAATGCTGATTATTGAATAATAAGAATAATATATTTATTATTAGTTATAAAATAGTAGTAGATTAGTCATAAAAGAAACCTTTTATTTATTTTTTTACGATGAATAAGAGATAGAAGCGATAGAAGCAAAAGCAAAAGAATGAAAAAGAATGACCGAAATAAAAAATCGAATGACATCAAGATCACAATCTTTTTCTATTATTGTTGTTGCAGATTCACAATGTTTGTGTAGCATATTTGACGTGAGGTAAACAATCCCATATATTATGCTATAGAAAGAAAAAAAATGCAATATCACGTTTACCCAACACACATATTTGACTTTTAGTCTGTGATTTATACAGAGGTATTATTAGAGATGGCTTTGATAACTAAGCAAACTCTTACTTATTGGGATGGAGTGGATACGAGTAATAAAGCAAAATGAGCAATCACGTCTGATGTCTACATAAAATATAAAGAACGCCAAATAAATGTGTCACAATCACATTTTACTTTTTTTGGTATTGAATGTGCAACTCAATAACTCCATGACATGATTGGCTTACTCTATGCATAAGGACAGTGCACGAGTCAATAAATTAAATTATGGTTTTGAACTACAGTATAACGTATAGACCTTGCATGAATGTAGAGAGTCACTAATACCATGCGATGAGCAGGGTATACAAAGGCCAATTAACATCCACAGACGATATATAATTCAATTTGTCACATGACAAAGGGGTTCGCACCCAAACTCGGGCAGTAGTTATAGTAGTCAATGTAACCAAATTATGATGATTCCACAGAAACAAAAAGCACCATTATGAAAGTGCACCCTCCCCAGTTCAAAACTACACTGTTAGCAAGATCTGGTTTCTTCCTAGTATAAAAATCTGTCTTGTCTCCTCCACGAAATTAAATAAAGTGCCTATTGATGTGTAAAATTGTAAAAAGTACTGGCGATATGAGACCTGTCGGTGTGACAGCTAATCGTATTACCTTCCTTCCCGAATACCGAGCAGCCTTCATCTGGATACCCAATTATATACTGTAATAGGCAATGTATCCTATTGTAATCTATTTTATAAAATTAGCGTTGATCACAAATTTATATTAATCAAGAAAGCTATACGTTTTATGCAATGCATTAACTTTTTTCCATGGAAAATGCTTTTTGATCACCCGCATAAAGTATCCCTAACCTTTAGCAGGCTTTTTTTTGGTTGTACGAACGCTGAATCAATCGGTTGTACTAGCGCTGAAGGATTGCCAGATTACCTGTGTTTTTAGATCTATAATTTATATATAAACGCCTTGTTTCAAAGTTTCAAATAAGACCCTACAAAACAATTTATTGCTATTTTCCCCAATCACCTCCGTTATGAATAATCAAGATATCTATAAATTATATCATACTAATAGTCAAGGAGAAACCTTATATGTTGATAACCAAGGCTGGGTTTTCAATATCGATGATTTCAAATACCCTGTGCTAAAGGGTCATCTAACCGACATAAGCTTAATGAACTCGATGGGTGCTTTAACTTTAAAATCCTATCAAATTGAAACCCCAAATTTAATTTCCGCTCAGCATGCATGCACTTTCTGTGGAAAGGCATTTCAGTATCCAAGCACGTTAAAAACTCACTATAATTCTCATACTGGGGAAAGACGTAAGTCTAATCATATAATTATTGCCTTCAGCATATATAAGTAACGAAAGAACATCTTTTTAGCATACGCGTGTCAATTCGAAGGATGTGGAAAATCTTATACCACAAGTAGTAATCTTCTTCGTCACAGAAAAAACCATAACTAATGAAGATTCTTCTCGTCTATTTATTTAGTATGATCATCAGATATTACTGTATTTTATTTTTTCTTTATTCAAATAATATAAACTTTTAAGAAACTATTTAATGATAGGGACATTTGACTGTTAGAAAATATGTTTTTAAATTATGCGTACCATTTAAAAGAAAATGGATTGTCACGTATGTATGAGAATAGAATACTACGTTTATTTTGTACCTTCGATAATTCCAAAGGTTTGATATTTGGACGTGTTTCTTTTTTAAGATGGTTTCTAATTTAAAAGTTTACTCGCTATTATATAGCGTGAATATAATAAAATATGTAAAAGATTTATTATTTACTTTATAACGCGCAACCGTTTAACATAAATTTCTTTAAAGTATAAGGGTTGTATAAGAAATTATAATTCTTGAAATAGTAATTCATAAAAGAAAAAAATGATACCAAGCTCCAGTAAAATGCTCTTAAACATTTTGATACGAATATACTTAAAGATATTATCTCATACCCTATGTAAATCCACGATTTCAAAAAAATTTTACGGATTTGCTTTACAGGTAAAAGAAATAACGAGTTCGTTAATGCGAGGGAGTAACGATGTTGTGGTATTTATTCCAGAATCGGAATCCTGGCCATTTATTAATGATGACAATTTAGATGTCGCGTTAAAGTCACAGGCACGTAGTAGAACTGAGTTTTTCTAATTACTATAAACGTTATGTAAAAGAAAGATAATAAAGAATTTGCCATACTTCGCTTAAATTATATTGTAAGAGGTAAAAATAAACTATCAAGTCGCGAAGATTTTCACGTGAATTTATTTAATATTATGTAATGGTGGTGATTAGCTAATGACGACAACAAGAAAGAATACCCACTTACCTTTAATAGCTCTGAAGTTCCATCGATCCCAAAAGTTTCAATCTAAATATCTGTCAAAAATATATAAGAATGCACTTGGTGGTCTAAAGGGACTTCCGTTCTCTGTTGGCGACAGACTCGCCGATAACCCGTCACAATATACAACATTTTTTATAATAAAAATATTAAATGGTTTTAATTTGTTAATTCAAGAACTGAACTAGTTAAATCAAATTTACTTGGCAGTTAAAAATATGATTTTAAAAACTTAATTTCCATATACGTATGCGTTGTTTTTTTAATAAACTACTAAATACAATAATTTAATTTCACACATAACCAATATTATTTATATTGTATTATATTCAAGAGATCATATTTTACAAATGATTTTGGTCAATTAAAGTAGCACTAGTTTAAAAACCAGAACATTAGCTTCATAGGAAAAAAAAATGAATAAATGATCTAATCAAATATAAGGTTTACATTATCGTTTATCGGGTTTTCCTCAATAATTGCCATATGGTAGCAATGAAATTAGTGTAGTAAAAAGGTAACAAAGTATATCTCGGATTCAGTGATTCTAATAAACAAAAAAATAAACACCTAGATTCGAAAAATCAAATCTTTATGTCTTCATGTAATAAATTGTCAGCAACCACAATATACAGTGTGGGACAAAAAAAGTGTCACAACTTTAAAATGCTGTTACGCCTCAACTACTATACCAAATAAGACTTTTTTTTATTTATTTTAAAAGCCGAAAACCAGGAAATTATTTTAGTACTACTTTAGTATGATATGCGTTCACCATCTGCTTGTATTACAAGCTCACATCTGTGGCGCATCGATCGTACTAACGCAATTAGGGTAGATTTTGGAACATCATGCCACTCCTCCACCAAATAACATCTTAACTCTTCAACATTCTTGGGCATTCGCTTCTCTACGTTCCCCTTGACTATACTCCATAGGTTTTCTATGGGGTTTAAGTCCGGACTGCACGATGGCCAGTCCATAATTTCAGGGGCATTCTTTTCAAGGAAGGCTTTAGCAAGACGACTTGTGTGTTTCGGATCGTTGTCTTGCTGAAAACGCCAGTCATCTCCAAGTAAACCTCCAATCCTCGGGATATTGTCACGCAAGATATTTACATAAAACTCTGCATTCATAATGTTTGTAAAACAAAATAAATCTAATTTACCTTTAATACAAAATCCCCCCATGCAAAAACCTTCGTCCGATCTTTAGGCATCCAGTGAACCGGTCGTGCACCTTTGTGCCAACGCTCCACAGTGTTTCTAAAAAGCATGAATACTGTCTCATCTGAGAAAAAAGTTTGTTCCCAGTCATCATCGAGATGTTGTTGGGCCCACAAAACTCGATTTTGTTTCTGTGTGTCAGTAAGCATAGGAACGGCTTGTGGGAGGCTTTTTTTATATCCGACATCACAGAGATGCCTTCCAACGGTTCTGTAGGACACATCCACACCTATTGTTGATAGTTTCGTGGCTAGGGTTCGTGTAGAAATGGCAGAATCCCGGCGGATGAATTGTCCAAGGGCTCTCGAGGCATGTGCAGTTATTTTTTTTGGTCGTCCGTTATTCCCAGCATGCTTTATTATTCCGAATTTTTTTATTTTTTTTATGTACCTATAGATTGTTCAGCGATTTAATTTCGTTATCCTTTCTAATTCATGGATGTTATGTTCACCCTCATCCCATAAATGTAATAGGGTTTGACGCTGAGTTTCTTTAACAGAAGGTGACATTTCACATGGAGTTCCTGCGAAAAAAAAAAAAGCAAGTTAACAATCTAGAACATTTTTAATAGCAATTGTGGCTTCATGATCGTCTGTATGTAACGGTGTGAAGATATGTCGTGGATCGGGCGCTCTAGACTTAAATCTGTGATGTATAATTTTGTGACAGTTTTTTTGTCCCACACTGTATGTATGTAACAGTTAGTAGCACAATTATTCCATGTCGGCGATCTTTTGACCAATGAAAACTATTTATGCCCGGTATAAAATAAATTGACGATAAATTCTTATTAATATTTAGACAGATATCATGCTTCATCTGTTTCACCTGGCTAATGCCAGTGTCTGGTTCAGACGAACTTGACTCTTGACATATTTTACTATTTTATTTGG